ACCTTGTAGCAAGAAGGATGCGTGTACTCCCACTCAGGTCAGAATTGCAAAGTTGATTCCTTCGCTTTGACGTCCTCTTTTGCTGTTGATTTTGACTCCTAGAGAGTATGTCTCTTCTAGACTACTCAAACACTGTCGTTGTCAGTACTAATAAAATGACCTAAGTCATTTCTTCATCTTCGCCTAGTTTTTAGAGCTTGTTGCCTCTTAGAACTTGGGTGGTAGAGATCTTTCTGAGATGGTAGACTATAGTCTCCATTCTGGGCTCTGGTATCTTGAATGGGCAGTCGTCTACCCTTATTCTAGATACTTGAATTTCTCCCTAGCAGGTTTTATACTCATAGATATTCTTTCCACAATGAGTGCAATACTCTTTCAGCTTTCTTTCATCAATTGTTAACTGGATGATTCCTTCATGGGCATTTTTGAAATTTGTATGTGTCAACTTGGTACTCCCAATAGATCTCTTTGCCAGTTTCTCAGGTTCCAGTGTCTGCTTCCTCTTTTTGGAGGGACCGCCTCCCTTTATAAATAGTTTCTCCCTTTTTACCTTTAGTTGATTCTTGTCCACAGGCTTTTTATCTGAGAATGTTTTTACGAGTTTTAGCTTATTCCAATCTAGATAGTCCCATTCCTACTATTCTTCCTCATCTCTTCCTGCTTCCTAGACTGCCTGAAGGTTCCCTCTCATATATACCCTGCGAACAGGATCTGGTTGGACGGATGGCAGTGACGTATATGGTGCTATTCTGACACCTTCAATTCTGTCGTATTATAGTCACAGGACATGTAACCGGTACGGGTACTTGGTTATTGGTTTTGTTTTATGTTTTGTTTTAAGTATCGCTTTGATACTTGGTTTGTTTTAAGTATCGTTTTGATACTTGGTTTGTTTTAAGTATCATTTGATACTTGGTTTTGTTTTATGTTTTGTTTTAAGTATCGCTTTGATACTTGGTTTATTTTAAGTATCGCTTTGATACTTAGTTTGTTTTATGTTTTGTTTTAAGTATCGCTTTGATACTTGGTTTGTTTTAAAGTATTGTTTGATACTTGGTTTTATTTTATGTTTTGTTTTAAGTATCGCTTTGATACTTAAAGAGTTTTTACCAAAGTGTATCGATTGATACCTTTGATTAGTTTCGTTCATGCCAGACATGAACAGATTTGTGTATTTAAAGACCGCCTGTTTCTATGATAGAAAAGGCAGACTTCGACAGACAGTATTTCAATATACTTGGTTGAATGGTTACTTCTTTGTTCCTCAGTACACCCTCGAAGCCTCCTTTAGTTCTCAGCTCTCGCCTCCTCTCTGGAAGAGCAGGCCACCTGCCAACTATCGTATCTTTACCGATAACGTGATTAGCACCTTGCGAACACGTTACAGGACGCAACTGAGATCGATATGTATGATGATATACGGGCCCTGTAAGTAGGCCGGAGAGGGGTGTTTGATACCAGAGATTCTAATTCTGAGTGGGGTTACCCTACTTAGTGTAATTCCTAGGTGTTAGATCCTAGTATTCCTAATAGATTCCTAATACTAGAATGGTGAATGAAATCCTGTTACCCAGAGCAACCAAGGATTGCTAATCGAGGGATTATCTATCAATCCAGTGGAATAGCTTCCTGTGAATTAGTAGAAAGTTTTCCAAAAGATATCTGTTAGTTGGGTAGAGAGTTATGAAAGTTTGAAATCAGACAACCTAGAAAGGTTGCGATTATGACTACCTTTGCAGATACAACCTGCAGATGAAACTGATCATTTCATCAATGACAGAGACAATTGGGGCCACCTCAGTTCAACTTGAAAACTAGTCCATAAGTCTAAAGATTCTGACAATCGGATAATTACTATTGGGAATAGTATGATTCCCAGTTAGCTATATTGCAATTATGGAAGAGGGTGTGGTGATTTTCAGGACTTCCAGGTGTTTGCACTTTGAAGAATACCTGATGTTGCGAGTTATAATCAAAGCGGTACATAGTTGTATAATAGATAGATGTAGTCCATGAATACTCAGATGTGAAATATAAATATTGAAATGCCTCCCAAGCTTTTAGACATCATCAAGCAATGGAGAAGAGATCTTAACAATATAATATTGTTTTCATGATTCTATTCTACTTTACTTACTTTACTTTGCTCTTAGTAATCATAAACAAATCGAGTGTAATCCACGCTTTCTTAGACAATCTCTGTCTACAGAAATGAATCTTTGTTTACCTAGACAACTCCGCAGTCTATTGGATTGTCTCCGCCTAACATCCCACCTGTACCTATAACTTTATTTCTGTTTATATTAGTATATGCCCTCCCACTAACCCACCTATATATCCAACCCACCTATATATCCAACCCACCTATATATCCAACCCACCTATTATAATTTTTATTCCTGTTTGTATTAGTAAATACTCTTCCACCAACCTACCTATATTTCCATCTCTCATATTAGTATATACTCACCCACCAGTCCACCTGTATATACATACCACCTGTTATAATATTTATTCCTGTTCGTATTAGTAAATTCCTTCCTACCAGCCTACCTATAATTCCATCACACCTGTTAGTTAATACCCCCCCCTACCTGTCTATATTTTCTTCCCACTGGTACTTTGTTGTATAAAATGTTTGTTGTAGTATTATGTAGTGTTAATGATGAAGTAATTTCTGTAGAGCTGTATATAAAATTGTATTGTATTATAGGAGTGAAAGAAGTTGATGAGGAAAGAAGAAAAGAAGAGAGAGTGATGGACCCCTTTATATAGGCCTCCCTCAAAAATGCCAAGCCAGGTATGTAAGAAAATAGAATTTACCCTACTACACTTTCTACCTCTTATTATACTAAAAATAAATAGATACTATTAGAATAGTAAAAGTATATGGTTAAGACTACATTTGGCATATAGCTTTTATGGCATATTTTTTGGCATATTAAAGTTTTTATATAGGTGTGTATTTAGCATGTATTACCAAATGGCAATATATTTTTATTGTAATTATAAATTTTTACTATATATTTTTATAGTAGGGCTAGGTGCAGAATTATGAAATAACCCTCAGAAAAAGTATAAACCTCTGAACTCTGAAATAAAGAATTTCTTCTAGTAATATACACAATCAATTGTAAACCTCTATCTCTATCCAATTATTTCTTATTTTCTTAAGATGAATGAACAACAATTATTCTCAGCAAATACTCATCAATTTGAAAATACCAACTATGATTCCAATAATGAAGTCAGCTCTAACTTAGACTCTACCACCTCAGAAACTATTAGGCAGTTGAAAATTGTTAATGGCTTTTTACTTCATGTATTGGATAATGTTAAGGTTTTGCAGTATTGTAGAAAGATAATAAAATGAAGGTAAAACCTTTATATACTATGTAGTTTATTTTGGGTACTTACTCTAAGCTCAGTTATGTGACTGTGTTTTTTTTTTCTTCTTTCATACACCTGTAGCATGTTTGCTAAACTCATATATTTAATTTTTCCTCTGAATATTTTTATTAGCATATATGCTATTTTCAACTTTTATTATAATATATTTTTTATTAGTACATGCCGAATAGAGCCTAAGTATTTAATGATATTATTGACTAGCTAGCACTCCAAATAGTCCTTCACTACACTATTGGATTGAGGTAGTGTGAGCTTTTTATAATACAATAAAGTGAAATATTTAGCTTATATTTTTAATAGCTTTAGGATTTACCTCAGAATTTACAGGCTTCTGTTTTGAAGAAAGGATAATGACTGCCCTTTTATTAGTACATTATAAAGATTATGTTTTTAAATACAGCATAGAAAATAGATCTATTTATTATATACAACTATGAATTTTACTTTGATTTTGAATTTTTTTATCTCAAGTAAAAACATAGTAGAAAAGTTATCATATTAAAACATTAAAATCGAAAACAAATCCATAATAATAAAAAAAGGCTAATGAATATGGTACAGAAAACAGAATTTAGTTTTAGATTTAAACCTATATTTGGATTTGTTTATGCATGAAATTCAAGAATGGGTAAAAAATAGATATATAACTTGAAAAGAAGAGGAATTGTTGATCACAATTGAAATAGGGAAGGGCTATCCACCATGGTAACAATGTTGCTTCAATTTTGGCTTAATATAGGATGCCTACAGTAGCTCTTTATTTTATGCTTGAAATATTAGAACATCAAATTAGTATGCCTGAAGTTTTACCCTTTGGCCTTTTAAGAGAGGGTCAACATGTAAAAAGTTTGGTCATCATGTGACCTTAGTGGAATTATGTATCATATATAGATTCTGCTACTTGCGATGCTTTTTCTCCTCCTTTCTTTTTCGCTGTATAACCCCAAGATCTGCTCCAGCGGACCTGTTCCGCACTGGCAACCTGCTAAGGGGACCGGTCCTCTCTCCCTTCCTTGAAGAATACGCCTACCCATTAATAAATCCAACTTTTTTACGGGATACAAGCGTGGTAATTACGTTGAATCTTTGGCTGAAAACCAGTTTGGGGGTGAGCGTGGTCAGAGGGTGGACGTTGTGAATTATCCAGATGGACCTGATTGGTCATCAATGTCATTCGGCTATATTTCAGCATCGCTTCCTCTCTTAATCTCTAGCTCTCAAACGCCTCGCTTTAGTTGCCTTCTCTGGGGCCGTTCCCTTCTTGCTCCACCCATCTTTGCTGCCCCTTAAAGGGCTTTTAGGAAAGAATTTCTCCTTTAGAGTGATATTTTGTGATTTAGGCTTTCAATCCCCCCTGAAGATTATGAATGTACTATAATTATTGTATATTTTTTCTTCCCCTTCGCCCAGGCGCTAAAGCCTCCAGAACTCATTCCTCTCTGCTACGGTTTCCCTACGTACTTTATAAACCGCGTTGATCGGTGATAGCTTTGATGCTACGTAACCCCTGTCCATTTCCACTGTCAAACACCTCCCAATCCCATAATCTCCATCCCCGACCAATACCCTATCCAACAGCTTGAACAGTCATGCCACCTAAATCTCTCTCCCCTGCGAAACTCTCGCAAGTTCTTGCTCATATACACTCCCTAAATACGGCACACACTCTAAAAGACCTCGAAAAGATCATTCCCGCAGCAACTGGCGTCTCAGGGATGTTGGTAAAAGATTACCTAACAGCACTCGTTGACGAAGGGCTCCTTAGGGTAGAGAAAATCGGTAGCGGGAATTGGTATTGGGCTTTCCGTTCCGAGGAAACCAACACGAAACGGCGAGTTCTAAAGAATTGTCTCGAAGAGAAAGAGAAGCTTTGTTTGGCGATTTCAGAACTGAAAAGGGCAATTGGTGAAATAGGTGCCGATGAGGGGGGTGAAAAGGAGGAATTGGTGGGGAGGGTCCAGGAATTAAAGGTGGTAAGGGCGGGTATAGCAGCTGAGCTCATGGGGTATGAAGAAGGGAATGTGAGTAGGTTGAAGAGAGAGATTGACGAAATAAAGGCCAGGGTTAATCTGACTATTGGTAAGTCTCACCCCCGCAGACGTAGGTTTAGGCTAATAGGGTAGACAATCTTTACACGTTGGAGAAGTACGTGAAGGACGTTACCGGTGGAGACAAAGAAACCCTCGATGGTTGCAGAAAAATGTTCGGCATGGAAGAGGAGATGGAATATGTCTGAATGTACTTGTACTTTGGCAGGGTAAGCTAACCATGCCTTTCACTGGGGCAACGTAAGTAAAGCCATTCAGGGGATTAATTATTTCTAGGGTCATGGCACGTCGCTCTAGTATCCTTAACCTTAAGGTCCGAACCAAGTTTGAATAGAGCACGACACAATACAAGACTGTGCGATACGGTACTGTAACTCACAGTAAACTTACTTACGAGACTCCGTTAGTCGGACTAGCACGGAAAAACACTTTATAGATCCCAAGGGAGGTGAATCAGTGGATGAGAGGGTTCACACGCGGAGTCCAGAGGAGGAAATGGAAACTCGATTTGGATTTCCAAATACATAACCAACCCCAAGCATTGGGGATAAGAGCATCATGAACCCAACTTGGCTTTCAGTAGCGCCCTCCTCCGTACAAGGTTCCTCATTGCTATGAAATTCTCCTCATTGGTCTTTGGCCCCACTGTCTCCTGATATCCGGGACCGGAGGTTGATTTAGTGCACTCCTGTTGACATAAACAAAACGCAATCTATCGGGCATTTTTACCCCTGTTCCTATAGGATAAAATAGTAGCCAGGCGGCTATCGTCTGCCGGATGACCATATTGGCGATGTGGGCGTTGAACTAAATTCCAGATTTGTTGTCGTGTAGAGTTGCCAGCTATTTTCCACCCACAAGGGCGGCGTTCGACTACCCAATGCCAAAGGGAGAAGGGTCCTTTTCTAGTTTACGTATCATAGGGGAAGGGCATTATGGCAAAAAAGGGCATTACCCTGAGTTCATGACCCCACCTTGGGAGAAATGCCCGAGTGGTCTCACTACTCGAGTACCCAGCAATCCAGGAATAGCAGCACCCATAAGGTTTGGCAAAGGGGCAGTAAGGGATGATGTAGTGCAAGAGACACTGAGCCATGGGAGGGTTCTGTATGGGGTCTTGGTATTTTGAAAATAATGTTAGTTTTGGTGAACCCCTTCCTTTGTATCTTCATTTTTCCTCCTTCTTTTTCTTCTTTTTTCTAATATCGCTTTATCCTCATCTGACAAACATTTGCCCGAGGAGTGGACCCCAATGACTATGAGCGTAGTCATCTCAACTTGACATAAACTATGGCAGGATGGCAAAGTACACAATTACCCGGCATCCAATTTTGCTGCTGGGGATTCCTTTTTCCGGTGCCGCGGCGTACTCGAGTACTATACCTTGCAGCGGTATCCTACGGTGCTCAAACACACGGCATTATTAGAGCACGACACGAGTGAAGAAGGTTGTGGGACAATAGAGGTTCCAACTAAGAGCGGGGAATACCCTGTCTGCAATTACCGACCGGGTTCAATAGCATTAATGCTCCCCTCCATTCATGCTCCGGATCACGATATCGTTGCCGCCGTACCGGTACTTGAGTACAGTACAGTACTATCCGGCAAACGCTGGTATCGCTCTTCAATGTTCTAAATTTTTACCGCCCTTGCCACGCGCTAAGTGGACCACTGGTAACTGCGATTCCACCTTCGGAAATTTTGGATTTGGTGTGTAAGCTTTATTTCCTTCTTTATCCTATTCCTTGCTTTGATCACGCGAAGGGGTCTTTCTCGCAATTTTAGCGTTTTGAGAGCAATGTTTGGCTGAGCTACACTAACTCGTATTCGTGAACGGCAAAGCTTTTCAGATGTCACGCTGCCTCCTCCTGTAACACATACCCGCGGGGACCGCACCCGTCCGAGGTGTTAATTTATGATAGTTTCCAGGTCGCCAGTCTGTTGTGATCCAGAATGGGCGGCTATAAACCTTCCCCTTGTTTAACGACCCAACTTACTCGAGTACCGGTACTGGTAAATCAAACCTCCCTTACAGCACCCCCCTCCCATTGCCTAAGCGATGCCATATTCGAGTTTCTTGCAGGGGCTCATAGAGCGCCCGTACTCGAGTACCGTATAGTACGAGTACTCGTAAAGTACTTGGCCCCTTCATTATGGGCCAAAAGCAAGTGGCTAGTGTCGCAGTCCTGGGCTAGAATAAGAATCTGACAAGCCAAGGTTTTGAGATAAGATTGGATACCGGTAAGATGGGAGGGGGTGTCGTCTTAATAGAAAGATGAGGATAGGATTACACCAATAAAGCGATAATGCATCTAACGCAGTGCCTGGTGCGTGCGCATCGTGTTTCATGTCCCAGCAAGTTGAAAAATCCCCGCAAGGGGGAACCGTTTCGCACCCCCTTTGAGAGAATATTATTCTCATATCATATCATACCGTTCCTAGCTCTTGGGTTGAGCCCTCAGGGCATTACGTGTTTGGGTTTCGCGAGCTGTTCTCCACCATTTTGAGACGAGGTCGACTTTTGGAATGGCGAATCCAGAATTTCCCAAGGCTGAGTACAGTACGAGTACTGTACTAGTACTCGTACCGCACAACGAGTACTCTACGTAGACTACCCGTGCTGTATCATAGCTCGAGTCCTTTACAAGGCTAGGTTGGCTGGGCCAACGAGAATTGTGCAAACTCTCTAGACGCATGCAAAGGCTCTGACAACCTACCCCGTTATTCATAATCTGCAGCCTTTTTTCCAACGGACACGGTATTCGGAAATAAGCCAAGCGATGTTTTGGAAGAGTCCTTCAATCTCCCGATCGTGTGGTTCCTGTTATCGCTGACCGAATTACCGGTTGGGACAACAGATTCCCACGCCAGGGCTCGAGCATGATCTTCTGAAAGGAGTGGATTGGGGGGCCGTGAAGAGGAGCCACAAGGGGGAAGCCATAAATCGCATTTTTCCAACCGCTGACGTTTTGCAAGTGGTCTGTGCTCTGATTCAGGTACCAAAATCATGATCAGGGACGGTACTCGAGCACAGTACCGCACAGCTCAGGGGTCGAGACTGCGGCATGAGGCCGGCCCGAGAAGGCGTGGGTAGAGACGGTGCACGCTGTTGAGGCGCAGTCGTGAGGCTCTACTCTGCGCTGCGAGATGTCGTGGGCATGCGCAGAATGGTGAATCCAGAATACGCTGCATCCCTTCACTGGTCGCCAGGAAGCAAGCCCCCTTCTGAAGAGCGTCTCCTGTAACACCAACTAAGATTGGAAAAAATTGCTTGTACCTACCGAGGGGCAGTAGATACTACAAGCCTACGGTCTGCGCCTCACCCGACAAAGCTCTTTTGCGGGGTATGACAGGGTTTGGCTGTGGCGAGCAGTAGCTATCTGACACGATTTACAGCGCGAACGTCGCAGGTTGAGGACTAGCCAATCAAGTTCGCACTCCTTGGAAGGAGTACCCAAAACCCTCTCCCTATTCTCCTACTGATGGCGGTGTAGACACTTTAAAAGGCGATAGTGCCGCCTTTTCCCAAAAACTCCTATTCGTAAAGATTCAGATTCTTCTCATACGTGGTTTTTTTCCTTTTCTTCCTCTCCTTTGATCTTCTTTTCTACTGGTGAGTCTTCCCATTCCTGGCCTTGTTAGTATCATGCTATGTATAGTACTAGTACAATGTCATTTGATAGTACCGTAGTTGGCGAATCTAACCCTCTCTTACCGAAAGAGTATGCCTTACTGACGTCGTGGTGATTTGTGCAGGCTGTGCCATATATTTTCTTTTTTTCACTCGCTCCCCGGTTTCTTAGCTCAGCCTGCTTCATCAACTTTAATTGTTTTTCCGTCAACATTGGCGACTTCTTTTGCCTTCTTTATAAAAGTGCTTGGACCTCCGCATCAACTAGAATTCTCATCAGCAACTTCATCGCACGCTTCACTCGCTATTGCCACAGCAACACCAAAGCACCAAACAAAACATCAAACCGTTTAGTATCGCAAATCGAACAATCGACTTGCCTTAGAACCGGTCGGTGACTACGCTACAAAAGCCTTTCCTACCTGACGAGCTCATTGCACTATAATCTCCCATTACCTTACGCACTTCCGAACCAATATCTCAAATATCTACACAAATGCCTTGCATGACCCGTTACCCCACCCCCCCCACTTATATCTCGCCCGGCACCAACACCGCCAATCTGGCTTCTGCCGTCTGCGCACACTCAAAACAGGATCGCCGACCCTCGATAATTCAATCTTGTTCTCCGCCGGTGTCGGATACAACACCTGAACCTGCCAAGTTCATAATCACGTTAAAAGGCAGAACTGAAGAGAAAACTTTAGTCTCCAAGTGCTCGCCGCCAGAGAGATGGTCCGGGGCGGTGGTGACTTCTGAGAGATCAAGCTACATCCATATGGGTATGAGGCGTCGGGAGTCTCTCCAAAGACCAGGCGTCGAGGGTGAAGGATGTTCAGGGAGCGATACTGCGAGTGAGACCGAAAGTTCCTACGGGGGCGAAAGATTCGGGGAGCGATGCTGCGAGTGAGGCTAAGACTTCCTAGAGCAGTGGAGGTATTGGCTTAGCTCGGGCATCAGGACTGGGGCCACAAGGATGAACGAGGCTGGGGGGGTTTCAATCTCATTTTGTTTTTTTTGTTTTTTTTTTTGGCTATAATTTGGGGGGTTTTTTTGACGGGTTATTGGATTGTAATCTTTTTTGTATTTTTGACGGGTTACGATTTCTTCACTGTATCCTAGGGCTATGGCTTCAGTGTTTCGGGTTTTTGGGTTTTCTTTTATCAGATTCCTGTTTTTGCCTCGCCTTATTTCACTTTTTTTATAGAGAATTTTTTCTTGGGCTCGGTGGCTTTCTAATGACCTTGAGTTCTTTCGCCCTCCTGTATGATACTTTTGCGGTTTTTCCATAAATTTCAAGACCTAGAAGAAAACACCTTAAATTCTTCTTTTATCATACGCGTGCAAGTTCTTCCCCCGGGAAAGGGCGGAAGTCGTAAATACTCAGCCATAACTCGTACCACTGCCCTACACCCCACCCCAACACTATATTTATCTCCCACAATCTCAAAATAAACCTTCATCCTGCGGAAAAGAAAGAAACATATTTCCGAACACCCTCGTAGAAAAGGGTAAAACAAAATTAAATAAAAAACAAATAATGCACAGTTCGAGGTTCAAACCGACTCCCTCCCCCAACCACAACTTCCCGGACACTAGCAGTCCGGGTTACTTAGCTAATGAAACCGTCCGCGCATTCCCGCCCCAACTACATGAGGATTCTCACAACCTCTCACTCGCTACCGAACCAGCGTTGTCGAGGCATCAAACGGGGGGGGGAAACAAATTCTTCGCAAGCGACGCGACGAGGGAACAGAACCCCGACGATCCCTTTATTCAGCGGGAGCGGAATTAGTGGTGTGTGTGGGAACATCTTGAAAGGGCCACCGTGAGAGGTTGATTTTCCGTTCGACCAGTGGGTTGCGAACACGCGAACCAGCGTGTCGTCGCAACATGGTCGGTTGAATGCTGTGGGTGGATGTTAGATGCGATTGTTTTACTGGGTGCGGATCGGGAATTAGTTCTTACTACGGCAGAGGGGCGGAGGGGCAGAAAGAAAAAAAAGTGTCCATCGGTGGGAGCTATTTTTTTTTTTCGAGGATGTTTTTTTTTTTTGTCATTGTTTTGCTGTGTGTGTGCTGTGTATGTGCGGTACAGTGCAGTACTGTACGAGTAGGGTACTCGGGTAGGGGAGATGATCCGTGGACGTCGTATAGTTCAAACTACCGTGGTATCCCCCAAATAAAGTATCGCAAAGCGCTCACGAGATCCCTTCTCTTTACAGTCAATAGGCATGACTGCATATTGGAAACGACCCTTCATCGTGAATGCTCACGGACAAACCTTGGTATCCGGGTATATTTGGGACGGACGAAGATTTATGGAGTAATAGAAGGTCATATCTGCATGTTTGACTCTTTCAATGCTCCTCCCTCCGCCCCTAGCGAGGAAAGTTCCGGCGAGCCGGTGGGGGAGCCCAGATTGGGATGGGCGGTGGTGGTGGTGGAGGGTTTGGTTTTGTGGTAAGGTATGCATGCAAACCGTACCTGGCTATTATACTAGCACTCGAAGATTGTTGCATGCATCTCGGGGTAGATTCCTGCGATGGATGGGAAAGTGTCGTTTGGAGGTATTTTTTCTGACTGGATAAACTTGCGAGTGGAGGTACTGGTACCGGTATGGCAACGGGAAGGGTTTTGGAGAGATGTCACTGGGTGGACTTATGGTCATTTTGCGTTTCGGGGGGTGCACCATAAGGTACATATGCTCGGGGGATTGGTGGATGAAGGAGGGTGGGATGTTCCTTTCCCTCTTGTGTTCTACGAGACGGTTCTGGGTGTTTCCGGAAGCGCTCCCTGGGGGTGATGGGCGATTTGGTTTACTTGAGGTTTGGTTTTGTCTTATTCCTTTCTTTTCCATTTTTCTTTTCTTTGGGGAACGTTTTATCTGGTAATCCTCCACCTAGAGTAGTGCTTCTATTACCCCGCTTACGGTAAAACCCCTGCCTCCGCTGTAGCACCCCGAGTCATGTCAGCATCTTGACGTTGGCCGAACCTGAAAAGCACCAGTATTGGCCCACCACGGATTCGCTTGCCCCGGACTTTTTCCTTCCTCCTCCTTCTTTCAAAATTGACCACCGGTGCATATATCAAGTAATAGTACCCCGCGGGGGCCTCGAACCGCCGTTCTCCCACCAGTCGTCTGGCAACAATTGGGAGAAATTTCGGAGGGAAAAAAAAAATTAGAAAATTTAAGACAAATGCACCCCTGAAACGCAAGTCACTCAACCAGCACGCTGTCGCGCAATCACCGAAAATCACTCAAGTACTCTAGTATGATACTATCGCTGGATTCGGTGTCTGTGGGTGGCATGGGGAAAGGGGTCCGGGGTGCAGTATTTGTACAGTATGATATTGCCCACGTGATTGTCGGCTTGGAATAGTGGGTTGGGGTTTTGCAGGTGTGTGTATGCATGCACGTACAGTATGCATGCTGGGGAGGGGGCGGTAGGAGAGGGAATTACGAATTGACTTATTAGAGGTTTTGGGGATCGGTGTTGGCGTATGCTGGTTAATTTCGGCAGTGTGGATTGCGAGTGCTAGGTTGTGTGTTAGCGTGGCTGTAGGTGTTGGCATGGGGTGTCACTCGGGCTCAGGTGATGGTGGGAGTTTTGCGGGGTGAGGAGGGTGAGGGGGGGGGGGCTTCGATTGGATCTATGGATGCATGAGTGGGTTTCGATGATTCTGGAACTATGGGTAGCTGCAGCGTTTATGGAGATCTCTGATTTTGCCTTATTACGGCTAGGTTTCGTATGATATATGCATACCCTGAGATAAGGGTCTAAGCTACTGCATTTCACTATCTGGGGGTTTGGTGTGAAGGGAAAGCCCAATTGAAGGCCTGAACAGGGAAGTTGTTGATATGGTATGGTCTAACTTGGTGTAATAGGCTGAGCGAAGGCGGGAGTATGTTATGGCGGTGCCGGTACTATTTCGTGTTTTATCGAAGGCCATTGTGTGC